CTGAATAGACATGTATAGCACCACGCGGTTCTTCTGTCACAGTGACGGGTTAAGTCATATAAGTTAACAATTTCTGTTCAGAAATGAGTATTATATAATGCTTGCTTTGGGCCTGATTCAGTCAAAATTAAGCACTTTAAGGCTGTGATCCTGCATATGCCTAGTTTCAAGACAAAATTAAGCATACTTAATTTCAAACATCCTTAGTTGATGCCATCTATCTTGCTGATTTCCCCTGGCAGAATTAAGCACTTGCCTGTATTTCTCCTGTTAAAACAACTTGCAGCTTATGGCTACAGTGTGTTGGACTTGGAATGGTCCAACAAACTGGGAATTATGGCTGCTTGTGGTTAGGTCTTTTGACTGGGTGCCCATGGGAACCCTACAGAGTATGAGTACAACAGTGCCCCGCAAGTTCTGCTCCCCAGCAACTGGGATTCAAAGGCATATGGAAGCGGTATATAACCATCATGACCAGTAACCTTTTTCTTCCGTGCATTATCTTCCAATCCCCCTTTAAAGCTGCATGAATTGGTGGCCCTTGTTACCTCTTGTGGGAGATAATGCCATAGTTTAATTATCAACTGTGTGAAAAAGTACTTCTATCTGTCCAATCTTTCACCAATACTAGAACCCCAGGTTCTACTGTTTTGAGACATTATGATTTCTGTGCATTTTCTGGACTTCACATTGTTTTTGTAAATAACATAAGCGTAGGGCTGCCATAAGCAGCACTGTGAATATTTATCTGCAGATGAACTTCATTGAATTTGGTGAGAATTTCTTCTCTAAGTAAAGATGGTCCTGTCTTGCACAGAACAATTTGGTATACTTCTGTCCAAGATGTCTGAGAATATCTGACAAGGTTTCATCCTGTGCCTACTTAATAGGAAACAAAATTGGACTTAGTTCAAAATAACCCTTGTTAGGATTGGGCTACAATTTGCTTGCAGTGCAGTGCCTTGTGCTGACCCAGGAGGAGGTGAATTCTCCACTGAGCTAGATAGCATAAAATGGGCAGTGTCCCTTCTTCCAGACCAGGGACTGACCTGGAAGAGATTCCAGCTCGGGGTCACTGATCGGCTGACTGTGACTGTGATGGTAGTAGCAACTGCCTCCTCCTCCTCTTTCTCCTCCTCCTCTTTCTGGCATTTTTCTAATGATTACAGCAACTACCAACAAGCAGGAACACAGAGTCAATCAGTCTTTATGTGTTTTGCTTTGTTTTACTATGACTTTATTATTGTTTTGATGGCATTACCTGCCTTGAGTTTCCATGTGGGCATGGTGGATGGGAGTAAGCATGCAATGAATTGAATGCATAAATTAAATGAACTGGTAGTATTTGTTGGGCTGCAGACCTTGATCTTCTGAATGGTGGAAAAAGATATGAAGGGTCACAATCACTTATCCCACATACATTTGAGCTTTGCATAGAAGTGTCACAGCTTTTCTGTGCTGCATAGAAATCTCCGATGAATTTCACGACCTTTTGGCACTGGGTGAGCATATCCTTCTGTATGCAATTTTGGTACATGATCTGACAAACTTGCATAACATGTCATGCATCTAACTGAAGCTCCTGTCTCAATGAGGCTGTGGCAACAACTATCCTACACATAGTGGGTGGGGTAGGCTACTTCAGCACAGTGGGGTTTGCTTGCGGATACCCGAATGTGGTCTGCATTCTATATATACCCACCAGCCAAGTAGGACCCCAAAAGAAGCAGAGCAAAGGGAGTTAGTGCCCCACTGTTGAGACTGGACAGGAGTCTGAGTTCCTCTGATGCAGATCCAAGTGGCAGGGGGAAGGCAATTGCTGCTGTAGTCAAGGCTAATTGATTAAAAGAAGAAGGAGCCCCTTTTCACCAACTACTCCATCTTCTCAGGAAGCAGACCTTTGCAGTGGCGAGGGGAACAGAGGTGAGTCCTGATGTGTGGAACAAGAGGGAGGCCTAGCAGAGACTGAAACTGAGCAGGCCGGGCAAAGCCTTCTATCTTTCCTCCCACTGTATACTACTCATGTAATGCATCTTTTCAGTCCTATTGGAATAAAGGTTGGCCCGTGACATTTTGCTGCCTGAGATGAAGGACAAAACAGGGTAGCCCCCTTGGTGGACTGTGAGAATGCCGGGGACATAATATATATTGACTTCAGCTCTTGATAATGTGCCCCATGACATTCCAATCAGCAAACTAGCTAAACTGGGATGGATGGAAGAACGATCAGGTGTATCCACAGTTGGCTGCAGAATCAGAGAGTCCTTCTCAGTGGCATCTTTTCAGACTGTGGAGAGGTAACAAGTGGGGTACTGCAGGTCTCAGTCCTGGGATTGATGCTCTTCAACGTTTTTATTAATGACTTGAACAAAGAGGCACAAGGAATGGAGATCCGATTTGCTTATGACACAAAACTGGGCGGGATAGTCAATACCCTGGAAGAAAGAAAAAAATCAAAGTGATCATGAAAGGTTGGAGCAATGGGCTGAAAGCAACGTAATGAAATTCAGTAGGGACAAAAGCCACATTCTGTACCTAAGACAAGGAAACCTACTGCACAGTTACAAGATGGGGGATACTTGGCTCAACAGTACTACAAGTGAGAAAGATCTTGGAATTGTTGTAGTTCACAAACCTGCAAAAAAGGCAAATGCTTTACTGGACTGCATCAAAAGAACTAAAGCTTCCAAATCAGGTGAGGTACTGGTTTACCTCTATTCAGCTGTAATTAGGCCCCATCTTAAGTACTATGCCCAGTTCTAGGCTCCACAGTTTAAGAAAGATGCAGACAACTGGTAAAAGTCCAGAAGATAGTGACAAAGGTGATGAGGTGACTGGAAACAAATCCCCATGAAGAGAGATTGAAAGAACCTGGTATGTTTAGCTGTAGACGAGAGGAACGAGGAAAGATATGATGGCATTTTTCAAATACGTGGGAGCTTGTCACACAGAGGAGAACCAGAAACTCTTCTCAGGTATCCCAGATTGTAATGGGCTTACGTTACAGGAGGCCACCTTCCAGCTAGACATCAGGACAAACTTCCTGACTGTTAGAACAATACAACATGGAATTATCTAAGGAGTTTGTGTGCTCTCCCACACTGAAGGCATTGAAGATGCAATTGGACAGCCATCTGTCAGGGAGTCTTGCATTAAGCAGGGGGTTGGACTTGATGGCCCTGTAGGCCCCTTCCATCTCTGCTATGCTGTGATTCTCTGATATGATCCCATTTCACATACTAAAACTGACCAAGTTGATAGTTGGATTTTACTTCAGCCCTGGAACTGGGAAAGCATTCTCCACTGCAACTGGGAACAGAAGGTTAGTTTAGTGGTATATTACAGGCTGCAATGATATATACACACTTCTCTGTCTATACCCGTTCCTTCGACATCTGCCACCCGGGGCAGCTGTGTCTCTGCCTAAAAGTAGGGAAGACCTTGCTTGGAATCCCTCTTGAATTTAATATTGGACTGCCTTACACTTGCCCCTATGCACCTCTAGAATCTCAATGAATGAAGATAATACTTCATGCATTTGATGAATTGAATTTTAGTTTGTCAAATGACTAGACTTCAGTTTTGAGAATTTTAGGCCACTGTAAGCTTGACCATCTTCAAAGTGCACAGCACTTCTTGTTTAACAAATTTATTCTGACATAAGCTTTTAAATGAACTGTTAACTTTGAACTGGATGTTTAATGCTGGGTTGTGGCAGGGAGAGAGAACAGCAAAGATCACCTGAACAGCTGCCATTCACAAAATGTTGCTATTGAACAACACAAAACACACAGTTGCAATTGTGCACAATTGGTTCCTATGGAATTTCAAAGATTAATTTCAATCTGAAATTGCTGAAGTTCGGCTGCTGGAGAGATTCGGCTGTGTCTTCTGTTTTGTTCAAAGACAAGGTGTTTATCATGCCAGGTTGGGATGTGTATGTCCTCCCCCAAGAATGTTTTGTGAATGGCAACTGCTGAGGCCAGAGCAGTTACCAGGAGCTGGCTCAGCAGGGCTGGAGCTCTGCATTGTTCATTTGCAGAATCAAATCTCTGGGAAGCTGTCCTGCCACCCTGCTGCCCATGGACTCTTGATAAAATCAAGGGGCAGGGGCCTTGATGTCTGTTACATATGTACACCCGCCCCATTAGCTAGCTTATTACCTACAAGTGTTTCACCCCATTTACCCAACTTGAATTATTATTTCTGAAATCAAATTCCCTCTTTTCTCCTGTCCATAAATCCTCCCCTTTTTTTTAGAAATAGGCCGTTCATTAGAACAAGATCCTTTAAAGATCCACAGATTTTAGAGCATATGTAAATCTGCATATGTAAATCTCTGCCCCCCCCCCCCCGATCCTGTTGGCCTGAGCCCCCGGATCGTCTCGATACCTAGCGGTGCCCCTGGCTGAGACTCTGTGGAAAGACTTCTCGCTGTTTTCGCGAATAGCGCAGGAACCGAAGAAAGGCGATAGCGGGGAAGCGGACGCCGCAATGGCCAAAGGAAAGCGAAAGGTCAGGACGCAGCGCTGGGTTCCTGCTCGGCTCAGCCGCTTCAGCAGCAGCGAAGGCGGAGGAGAGGCGAGGCGAGGCGAGGCGAGGAGAGGCGGGCGCTCGCTCGCTCGCTCGCTCGCCCAGAGTCACGATTAGCATTCCACTCCACGTGTTGCTTGTTGTGGGCGCTACAGGTTTCCCACCTGTGTGCCGCGCCGCCGCGGCGCTTCACGAGGCGGAGCCGCCGCTTCGCTCTCTGGCGACGGGAGAAGCGGCAGGCCAGTCCGGGCTGTGATAGGAGCCGATCGAAGCAGTGCCCAAGCTCGACCCCTTTTGGCAAACTCCGCCCCTCCCGGCAGCCGTCAACGCTGGCTCGGTTGTAGGAAACCAGCTCGACGTGTCCGGAAAGGTGCGCGGCGCGGCTCTGGCGCCTCCGCGGCGTTGTTTTCCCCGCGCATTCCTCCGAACGGCCACGGAGGGCGAACGGCGAGCCGCGCCGGGCCACCATGCTCGACCCGTCCTCCAGCGAGGAAGAGTCCGAGGAGCTGCTGGAAGAAGAGAGACGGGATGTGCTGGCGACGGGCGGCTGCGCGCTCGCCAGCAGCTCCCAGCGATCCCTCCCGGCCGCAGCCGCGCATCGCGAAGCCGGGCGCCCGGGCAGCGGCGGCGGCGCGGCTGCCAGACCGGCCAGCCCCAGCCCTTCGGTGCGCAGCGAAGGCAGGGACGAGCAGGAGCGGATGCAGCGGGAGGAGACCGAGAAGCGGCTCCGGCTGCAGCTCTACGCCTTCATCGCGAGGTGCATCGCGTACCCCTTCAACGCCAAGCAGCCCACGGACATGGCCCGGCGGCAGCAGAAGGTGAGTGGCGGCGCGGCTCCCTCGGCCGCAGGGCGCGCACGGGCGTCCCGCTCCGCCTCTTCGCCGCAGTTTGTTTTGCAAGGGGGCTCGCGCAGCAGGGCTGTCCGGCTGGCCTCGGCGCTCTGCCCGTGAGCTTCCCCTCGCACTTCCCATCTCGGGGGCAAGTTAAGGGCATGCAACTGGTAGTCCCAGCCCCTCCTGGCATCGCCATCGCTGCGCCCGGCCTCGCGGAGAGCTTGTGGGCCGCGCTACGAAGTACCGGTTCCCCAGTAACTTCCGCGGCGGGTAGAACCGGCCGGCAGGTTCCGAGGCCCGCCCGGGATCCTTCTCCCGGTCGTTCAGGAGCGCCCCTTACGCGCTGCAACCGGACAGAGTGGATTGGTGGGTCACCCGCGCAAGGCGAGGGCAGCGAAGTAAACTCTCCGCCTCCCTGGAGGTGGGAAATGCCCGTGCCAGTCGTCGCCCTGCAGCCAGCCCGGCTGCCGCTCTTTCCTCCTCTCGCACTGCAACAGGTTGAAGCGGCTCTTTTGTAGTTAGAACTAACCAGCCGCCGTTCCTCGGGCAGCAAACGCAGTTCTGGAGGCTCACAGGTGTAACCTGGGCTCGTTTCCATCCTAGTGGTTTCTGGATGGGATCCTGTTTCTGTCTACCCAGAAGTAAATCCCGCTGGCTTCAGTGGGGCTTGCTCCCAGCGAAGTGGCGACAGGGTTGCAGCCTAACAGCGTTTCTTAAAAGAAAGGGGGGGGGGGGCGACCAAAACACGCCACGCCAGGAGACCGCAATTCAGGAAGGAATAGTTTGTGTAGCTTGCAGTTCTGTGCGTATCTGCTCAGAAGTAAGCCCTGAGGTCAGGTTTATTTTTCATACGTCAGTGAATAGGGTGGCAACCTCAGAGGCTTTGGGACGAATGTGGTGAGTGTGAGGGTACTGGGTACAAGGGTGGGAACAGGCACCGCCAGTTAATGCAGGCTAAAATCAGGGCTTACTTACTCACAAGGAAGTGGTGCGTGAGATTGCCGCTTAAAAGTTATGTAATTAGGTTCGGGTTGTTGTACTAGTTTCCCAAGGTAGCAGCAACTCAAACGTTTGGGGAAGTACCTAAGCTTCGTTCAGCTTCAAGTAGACCCATTGAAAGGAATGAGACTTAAGTTAGGGTGCAGTCCTATTCATGCTTACAGTATAGGACTTTCTGGGGTGGTCTAAGTATGAATAGGATTGTACCCTTAGTGGATACATTGGGTGCAACCTATTAGCTAGAACCCCCGAATGCTTGATTACATAATAATACAAAGAATATATTTGTTTATTTTCTACTTTAAAAACTCCCTATACACTGAAAGTGATAGTTTCCTTTGGAAGGCAGGTGGCTGAAAACAGGTCTGCGGAGAGGAAATAATAGAGCAGAAATTGCTTCAGACAGCAGACATCCATTTTGTTTGGGTCCCTTGTGAAGCTATGCCCTAAGAGACAGCTAGCCAATGAAATGAAGCTATTGACTGTCTAATAAAATGAAACAAAATTGTATCTGACTAGTGTATCATTATTGGGGAAAGAGTTCAAAATAGCCTGTTCAGATGTAGCCTTTTCTAGTAGTAATATGTTGTACGTGATATTTTGTTACCTACAAGAACAGGGAGCAGGCTGTCTTTAAAACTTCCTAATGGTTTGTTGCTTATCTAGAGGGCTTCAGATCTCTTAGGTAGGTTCCTCTCCCAAGCCCCATTTCTCAGATTAAACTGAATTCCACTTACTGTTTAAGATAAGATACAAATGTAATTCTGGTCTCCAGAATAATGTTTTTCAAACATGGAACATCTTCTCTGGAAGCATTTCTCCATCTGGTCATAAATGCAGAAGGTGCTTGGGAGACGGGCCATAGCTCAATGGTAGATCCTGTGCTTTCCATGCAAGCCTCCACTATTTGGCCCCGGGTTCTCCAGATAGGGCTGGGAAAGGCTTCTGCATGAAAGCCTGGAGATCCACGGTCCATCAGCACAGGCAATACTCAGCTAAATGGAGAAATGCTTTGAAGGCGATTTCCCATGTTAGATTGGCTCAGTTGTTAGACTTTGGTAGAGCTGTTCACACACACGCCAGTTCTGACCTAGCATTTTCCATGTAAATTCCTCCACATTCTAAAAACATGTCATTGGGTGGGGGGATCCATTTGAAGGAAGGAAACTTTGCCCATCCTACCTGGCAAATTGTTGTTCAAGGGTGTACTCTTGGGGTATTGTGGACAAGCCTTTTCGCTCAGCTGTTTTTGAGGGGTCTTGAAAGTCATCTTGAGCCTTTGGATGCATCAGAACAAAGACTGCTCTTCCTTTCCATTTCAAACAAAGTCTACCAAAAGTTACCCTCAAAGTGACTTAACATATATGTCCTTTCCTCCTTTTCTGCCCAGCTAATACAGTGCTGTATTCCTCTCAACTTCTCTTTTATTTTTCTGCTAGGCTTGTGATGACAGATAATGTGCTACTGAGGGGGGAAATGTAAATGATAAGAGAAACCATGAGGCCAACAGAGAGCATTGTTTGATGAAGCAATTAAAATTTTGTGGTAGAATTAGCCCCTGGAGATCAGACTAAATGATGGGTGTTGGGTGAAAAACATTTGACATCTTACCTCAAATGCTAAATAGTACCTGTAATCATTATTCAGAAGTGACAGGCTCTGTATACTGTAATTAATGAACCCATATTTAATTTGCTTTGGGCACTTATATTTGGTATGAACACATTAATTTCTATCTTGCAGTGGCATTGTGTCTGCAACAGAAGCTCAGAGCTGTGGTCATTAATCTTGCTTAACTGCAAGTACTAAGACGTGTTTTTATGTTCTGTGAAACCTTCGTGGTTTTTAGTAAAAAATGGAATGCTTTACTTATTCTGATTGCAGTTTGGCTCTTAAAAACCCTAGTAAACCCATGAGAATCTGTTTGACATGATTGTCAGAGCAATCCTATACACATCTAATCAGGAGTAAGCCCACTGAATTCAACAGGGCTAACTCCCAGGTAAGTGGTAATTTATTTATTTATTTATTTAAAACATTTCTATGCCGCTCCCATTGCAACAAAGCCTCGGGGAGGCTCACAACAAAAACAAACAAACAAAATCATACAAAAATTTATACACTAAAAATATTAAAACCCGGTGCATCTCGGCTTAAAATTTTTTTAAAATCCTACATAATAAATTAACACTTAAAATAAGTTTTTAATAAAAAGATCTTAGCCTGGTGCCGAAAAACAAATCGGTGGGAATAGGATGGCAGCCTTAAGTACCTAGATTTTGTGCAAGCAAATAATTTTAAATGAATTGAACAAGGAGACTGCTTGTCACTGTGTTGCACTACAGAAAAATGGCAAACGTCCCAAATCTGTGTTGTAAGAGCAAAGCTGGTTAATATTGGTATTCAGTGTTTTAGGTTTATGTAGTAGCTGCTGTGTGGTTTTATATACCCCAGTGTAAGTTGTAGGGGCTGCTAACTCATATGTGAACCTCATTCTTCAAAAATTTCTCACTTTTAAATTTATATATTGCTGATTTCTCCCTCCCACACACACCACTTATCTATACAGTGCTCCTACTTATATGTGTATACTCATAATCTAATAAACAGCAAACAGTTCAAAAAGATAGCTTTTCCATCCTGCAAATCCTAAAACAATTAAAAATAGATTTCATTAACTCTGAATAAGTTACATTTAAAATCACTTTGTTTACAAAAACAACAAATAGAATTCACATCTTGCAAATCTGAAGTTGTATAATTTGAACATAGATGGTTTTAAGCACATCTGTAGGAATTCCAGGATGTTAAACATGCTAGCTGCTATTACATTTCAGGCCCTCCACTGAGGCAGGGTGAAACCCTGCCCTCAGGCCACTGAGCAAGGGAACTGGTGAATTAATTGCATGCTTGCTACCCCCAGCTCTATAAAGTCTTTCAGAGTGAGCCAGCAGGCAGCCAAACTCCCTGAAAATCTGTGTTGGCTGCAAAAGGGGCTGCTGTGGTTCTTCAAAGAGGTGCTCATGCTCAAGGGCCTGATTCTAAGGGATGGCTCTGGGGGAGTCACCTGTACCCTGAGCAATCTCCAGGGACACTGCCTCCCCAGCAGGTAACTCTAAGGAAGAACCCCTCGGAGCCAGACAGTTGTGTCTAGCCTCTTCTCTGAAGAGCCATTCCAGCCAGTGTGGCTCTTCGGAGAGTTCAGCCATCCTGCAGAGCGGGCAACGGTGAGAGCAATGCAGTAGGCAGTTAAGGAGATAGAGCGGGGTGGAGGAGGGATGGAGACGGGGTGAAGACAGGCTGAGCAAGTGGGGGGAGCAGCCACAGGGTGAGGGGCTGGAAGATGAAAGGAGGGAGGTGGTGGTTATAATATCCAGCAATGGCATTTGTGCTCCCCTGGCAGCAAGGCACATGTGGATTGCATCCTTTTAATCATCCAATATTATGTTTTTCATTCCTCCTGTGTACTAGACTATATACAAGTTTTGCTTGTTGATTTCTGTTTCCATTGGGCCATATATAGTGTGATATACTACTACCAAAAGGAAACTCAGACTTCGGGGGGAAAAAGTTAGTGCCATTACTGCAGAAATTTCATTAATACTTGAAGTCTGACTATAGTTTAACTGTTCTGCCTGCACTGTAAGAAGCTTCTTAGTGCTCTGCCTCAGTTTTTATTGCCAAAACTAAGCCTGGCCCAGAAAAATCTTTATGATCAAAAGGTCCTCTTAGGATAAGACCCAGCCTTTTCTCTGACATGCTAACTTTTCTGTGGCAGGGACTTTGCATGAGAAAAGCTTTCACAGATGCAGTTTTTCTGTCTCCATCCCCCACCAGTACATCTGCCGCTTGAAATGATACAGACAGAATTCTGCCATATGGAATGTTTAGGCCTGCAGAAATAGAACTTTCCTGCTCTTGGATTGTGAACTTTACAGACCTGTGAAAGAAGCATCTGGCATGCTTACACATATCCCTTTTCCAGT